TAATAACAATGTCAATTGTGGCGGTGAGGTTTTAGTAAAATCCGTGATGCTCATGGTGAATCCGTGAGAGTAGGCAATTATATGCCCTATATACATGTAATATATTCTTTACCATTTATTCAGTCAACAGCTGTTCCAATGTACATGCTTATGTTGAAATCAGTTTAGTAAATAGTGTTGTGTTGGAGTTTACTACAGTTCTACTGCTCTCTATTTTTTATCTGTAGGTTTTATGGTACGACGGGGTCATTCAGGTCAGGTATTTATATTGCACAAAAATCCCCCCCCCCCTTTTTTTCATGTACAAAAATATCTGACCCCCCTCTTTTTCCACCAGCCCCCCCCCCCTTCCCTGTAATTAATGACCGGTCCCAGACTGTGTATACGTTTATGTACCCTCAGTTAGTCAAAGCAGCTAAAACTGACTACCGCTTATGCTCAGGATACTGACCCTCGTGGGAACAGACTGTAAACCCACAAAGTCTTTGCCAGTGTGTGCGGGACTTTTTGTCGGAATACGACGTGTTATGATCGATGCAGTTAATTATAACGTGTCCTTTAATTAATTGCCTCAGATCGGCTTTAGTTACCTACCGCCTGGTCATCTTGCTGCGCTCTACCTACTGTATAGCTAGTTTACTTTATTTCGAACGCAAAGTTATATTATTTGCTTTCTCAAATCTCAAGGTTTAGATATGAAGATGCACATATATAAATATAATCTAGGACATGTTGAAGAATATATTTGTCACAGAACAATTTAGCCTCTCGCATATTTTTTAGGTGTATACCAACTGCACATTACCCTATATTCGATATTTGAAGTTTAACTGTGTTATGAACCCTGTACGGCTTCAATAACAGTTCATGTAAACGTATTTGACATTGCAAAATTAATGCAATGTCATAACTGATGAGCAATTTCTGTTAAATATCCAGTTCGAGCACTGTCCATCGCTTGCACGCGTTTTGGGCCCAAATTCTTCGGGAAAGGAAGTCTTTTAGTTAAAGATTCCGCAAATTTATTCAAACCCCAGAAATTCGACTTTGAGGGGACCACCAGGACGATAGCCTTTTATTCCAAACATATACAGGCAATGAAGCCTGCTTTTCACTGGCAACCGATCAACATAAGCATAGGCACAAGCTGAGACAAAAGACAAAACAATTTAATGCAGTGAAGTGCGTGAATAAGCATTAACCACAACTCCAAGCGTGAGCTAGTTATGGCTGAAAAAAGTAAATCGAATGGAAAATGTTTTCTGTTTTGTCTTTGAAATTCTCAGAGTAGCATTCATGCTTTGTTTAATTTTCTTGCTTATATTATGTCGCCAGTGAAAACCAGGCTTGATACATTGCATTTTAAATATTCAGTTGATAATACATAAAGTAGTTGTAGCTATATTATTATATACAGCATTTACAATATTGCAAAAAAGAAAATAAAGGTAACAAGTAATTTCATACAAGGCATGAGTCAGGCTTGATTCAGGATCTAAATCAGTATTTCTTAGGTTGTAGTTATTTTTATATTCACTACTAATATTATGAAAAGATTTTTTTCGGAGCAGTTCAATCGTTTAATATATTTTGTAAATAAAGACCGATTTCATATAAGACCGAATTTGAAGGACATCAGAGGTCCAAGTAGTGTAGGAAATTTATATGATATTTATTGTAATTTAGTTGTTGTGAATAGCGAGAGTCTCGCTCAACTCTACTGATTTTAATTTCACTATACTGTAAAGCATTCTTTTCCTTTTACTGATTTATGGAAACAGTAAACAGTGTGCGAATATGAAAAAAGAGAATCCACAATGAGGTCTTAAATTAAGTTTTTGCACCAAAACAAAAATCAAAATCGTTATCTTTTCATGTCACGCAGTCACGAAATATATAGCCGTCATCTAATCTTACGCCAAGTGAGAGTATTGCTATCCTGACAACTAAAAATCGGCGGGTCAATTTGAGTTAATAATGAACGGTATTGGCGGTAAGATACTTTAAACTACTGCAAGTAAATGCAGCGCATGCAGTTTTCTTTACTCATTTATATTAAAAAACGTTTAATTTTTAAAGAAATGAAGTAAAATATCCATATATTTACAGAAAGGTTCACTTCTTTGTTGTCAGATGGGATAATTAACGTGTTCAAACAGTACAACAACAATAGAATTGCCAACCTCGTTCCCAGGGTCTCTCCTCTTGGGGAAGAAAGACCCTCGTCGGAGCTGGTCACGTGATCCATCAAAAATGAATTGCCTTAGGGGGTGAAGAGAAAGTATCATATTACATGTCTTCACTTCCGATTTTTTAGACTTGATTCAAGGAGTGCGCGGCATTGAGAATCATATTTATATATACTTTAGAATACTTGCAAAATCTGATTTCTGTTTGCTTTTAAATTATAAAAACACGACAAACAGATAGCAATCAGGAAATCAAGCAATAAAGACGTATGATCGTATGCTTTGAAATTGTTCTTATGTTCTCTCGGGCGCAGCAGCGGCAGTTTCGATCACTTCACACGTTTCTTCTCTACCTCTGGTTCACATATTAACTTATAATATTCTTACATATGCCATTGTCCGCAGGCGTAGCGCCTTTGAAGTATTTCAATCAAAGGTTAATGTACATTTTGCACACCAGCCAAATAGACATTGAAAGTCCATTTTACTGATTCTAAAACTGTTTCATAGACCTAGTGCAATTGATTTTTGTTAAAAATAGGTTATCATCTTTTATATTGATGTAAAGCTTTAATAATAATCTTCCTTAAGTAAAAAAATACAGTGGACTTACAAATTCATAAACATTATAAAACCATCTATATTACAATAAAAAATTGTATTTTTAAAAGGTTCAGTTGCCAAAGGCACAGACGACGATTATGTCCTTCAGTTCAGAGAATAATGCAACCTACATTCAGCCTAAAATTACAGAACCGTCTATTACAGTAGTAATTTAAAGTTTATTATTATAAAGTTTAACTGCACGAGGCATAAACGATGATTTATGTCTTTCGGTTCTGGAAATAATGTGACCTACATTAGAACCTCTTTCTTTAGTTCTGGTGGAATATAGTCATGCTTCTGTGCGATAGGGACAAGGTGGTGACAGGGATGGTCTACGTCCTGAGTAATTGCCTCCATTTCTCGAAGAGTTAGCTTATCTCTTCTCTCACCAAGCGGGGGAAGTGTATCGACCGGTAAACCAATAATACGTAAGCTTCTCCTTTGAATACGCTCAAGGTCGTTCACTAAATAGTGAGGTAGGCCACCCCAAACTGGTGCGGCATATTCAAGCAGTGGACGAATTTTGGTGCAGTAAGTTGCCATTCCTACTTCAGTAGGAAGGTGAGCCTTCCTGCACTGCCTTAGATGACACAGTCTCCTGTTTCCCTTACGAGTAATTTCTTTGATGTGAGAATTCCATTTCATGTTACTTTGACAGCTAACACCAAGTAACTTGAATGAATTAACTCTTTCGATCATAACATCCCCGGTATCAAGATTGGGAGGCTGTGGGATAGATTTCGCAAAGCAAATCCACATATCTTTCGTTTTCTTTGCGTTCAACTTCATTCTATTAGCGTTTGACCAATTCTGAACGGAGTCTAAGACTTTCTGCATGTTGCTACACTCTCCCTTCATGATACATTGGCTTTGTGTGCAGTCATCGGCATATTTATATGTGCTCACCTCAAGATCTTCAGGAACACTCGTATCTAAGTCGTCAATGTGGATATTAAATAGAGTCGGCGAAAGAGAAGATCCTTGCGGTACTCCAGCTGGGCAACCCTCGATCGATGAAAGTGTTTGATTTATCTTGACCTGCTGAGTTCTACCAGATAAGAAGCTTTTGACCCACAACCAGACGCTTTTATTAACATTCATCAATGCAAGTTTATTCAACAGGATCCCATGATCAACTAGATCAAAGGCTTTTTTAAAGTCGATAAAGAGGGCATGGATGCCTGCTTTGTCACGGCAGGTATTGTCAGTAGCATTAAACCATGGCTGTGTGATGGATATCAGAGCCGATGTTGTAGAGCGGCCACTAGTAAAACCATGCTGACAAGGGACGTAGTATGATGTCATTTTGATTGAGTTGTAGTTGTACTCTCTCTAGGATCTTCCCAATATGTGGCAAAACAGAGATTTGTCTAAAATCGTTACGAACGTCAGTTGGTGGGTATGCTTTAGGTACAGGTGTTACCAGGCCATGTTTGTAATGACTTGGATACTTACACTGTTTAATGCTAGCCGTAATGATGTCGTGAACAATCGGCGTTAGAACGCTAGAGAATCGTTTAAGTAACCATGCTGGAACACCATCGACTCCCGTTGCTTTCGAGTGGTTAAGGTGATTTAGGACGCCCTTAATCTGGCCAATACTAGGTAGAGGGGGAGGATAGTTCTTGAGAAGTGACTCAACTTCATCTAGTTAAGGAATACTTGTTGTAATTAGGTCTTTCCAAAGTTCAGTAATGGATTTTTGAAATTTTTCTGCTAAAGCGACCTCGCTACCCATGGAGTTTACTGTTAGGCCTTCATGCTGACTACTTACTCCGGACAGATTATAAATTGCTTTGTACCATTTCGCAGGGTCAGATGTGCGGAATGTTTTAGCTTTATTTTGATAGTAATTTGATTTGGCTTTCCTAATCATATCTTCTACTTGTGCACTTTGCAGATAATACTGGGACATGTTGCCACGAGTAAAAGCCCATTGTCTAAGCTTAATCTTTGCTTTAATGTTCGGAGTCATCCAAGGTTTATCCATGGGATGTAGGCGTATGGATTTCAGAGGCATACATCCGTCTAGAGCTTGACTAATAACTCCATTGAAAATTGAGACTTTGTCATCTACGTCTTCTGCTTCGTATACTGCATCCCAGACAGTTCTGCTTAGTCTTAGCTCGAGAGCTATTAAGTTTGAACGTTTCATCGATCGAAATGTTTTAGTTATTGGGCGTGTACTCGTCCGATGTTTTGGATTCAAAAGGCTAGGCATTGGTGATTCGATCGACCTAAGGGAGGAAGATGTTGCACTTCTTGAAACAGTAGCGACATATTAGTCATTATCTGATCTAAAGTATTGTTCTGGCGAGTTGGTTTCTTAACAATTTTCCTCAAATCAAAACAATTACATAATGTTCCTAATTTCATTTTGTTAAAGTCTCCAGCGATTATAATTCCAGCAGAGGGGTAGCTTTGTAGAATAAAGTCGATTCCATTAATAAGATAATCAATCATAGTTATCTCATTTATAGCCGCTTGACCTGGGGGATAATAAACTGCAACCATAACAATGCAACTGAAAGGCCTTGGAAGTCTTTGTGGTTTCAACAGTAGCCACAGAGCCTCTTTGCCTTCCTCTTCCATGTCAAACAAGCGGCTAGAAGGTATTGCAGTTTTAACATAAGTAATTAAACAGCCGCCAGGCGTTCCTCTATCTTTTCGGTACGGAGTATAGTTAGGTCCAATAGATATAACTCCATCGTATATGCTGGGATCTAGCCAGGCCTCAGAAATACATACAATTAAGGTCAGGATCATTAATTTCCGCAACTGGGCTGAGCTCATCCATTTTATTCAGAACGTGACAAGCATTAGTTAAAAATAATGAAGGAACAGTCTGTTTATTCGTTTTTATATCGGTAGATATCTTGATACAGTTTGTAGGCTCGTGGGACCTTCTTCTATCAGAATAAAGCGTATTAATGTGGGGAGTGGTGCTCGCGGTTTTAGAAAATAATTGTTGTCGATGAGTAATTCTTGTCGGAATCGGCATTTTTATAGTTTCATAGTGCGATGGACAAGCTTCAGGTGATTGATCCAGTCCTGCTTGTGACAGCGACTGCGTGTTAAACGTGTCCGTTTTTTCCAATTGAGCTTTAAAAAATAATTATCATTCTTATACGATTCCGAGCAGGTGATATTATTTGGCCGCTGAACTGGTTGCAATTTAGGTTTTCCTTCTATGAGAGGCAACCTCTCCATCCAATCTACTGGGAGACATTTATGCTTAGTATTTTTTGACATAGGTTGTATTGGGGTCTTGATGGCATTCGCCGTCATTCTAGCATCTGTTGTCTTCATGGTAGATGTTTGTGAAATAGTTTGCTTATAGCAGACTTGAGAGTACAAGGTGCCTTGTGCTTTCCCTCTAAGAGAGGCAGTTTTCCTAACCAATTTTCTGGATTATTTTTTGATACCGCAAGAGACATGGTCGTGAGGGCCTTCAGGGTTGTTATAGCAGACACTGGGATTTTTTGCAAAGCCGAGTTAGAGCATAGTTAATAGAGGAGATGGTTTGGAAACTTATTAGCATTACAATAAACCTCACTATCTATGTTTTTGTTCAGGTTTATGCAAAAATGTGGTCTTTCGTCGTCACGTGCGTATTGTATTTTTGCTCAACCAGCCAATAGCAACGGTTTTGTCCAATTGCCCACCATGACTTTAACAACAGGACATTTTGAACATTCCTATTGGTTGACTTGGGAAAAATACAATACGCACGTGACGATGAAAGACCACATTTTTGCATAAACCTGAACAACATAGATAATGAGGTTTATTGTGATTTTATTGTAATGCTAACGAGTTTCCAAACCATCTCCTCTATTAACTATGGTTAGAGTCAGAGACATGAGATTTACCATTATTCAGCCTAATATCAGTATTATTCTCGTGCCTTGTACCCGTAATCTGATCAATAGGTATTTGGTTTTTGACGACAGGCTTCGTTGGTTTTCTATTGTGTCATTACATTGGGACGTATCTTGCGTATCTAATAAGTATTTTTGTTGTTTTAGTGAGTCTCTCTCACCCGTAGTCTCGTCAATAGGTATTGTTTTTGACGACAGGCTTCGTTGGTTTTCTATTGCGTCATTACATTGGGACGTATCTTGCGTAACTGATGAGTATTTTTGTTGATTTAGTGAGTCTCTCTCACCATAGTTAATAGAGGAGATGGTTTGGAAACTCGTTAGCATTACAATAAAATCACAATAAACCTCATTATCTATGTTGTTCAGGTTTATGCAAAAATGTGGTCTTTCATCGTCACGTGCGTATTGTATTTTTCCCAAGTCAACCAATAGGAATGTTCACAATGTCCTGTTGTTAAAGTCATGGATGGGCAATTGGACAAAACCGTTGCTATTGGCTGGTTGAGCAAAAATACAATACGCACGTGACGACAAAAGACCACATTTTTGCATAAACCTGAACAAAAACATAGATAGTGATAGGGTGTTATAAGATACAAAAATTGTCTGGATCAACAGTACAGAATGATAACCGTATGCATTTCCTTTTTTTGTCAACACGAGTATGTTGAGGATAAAATATTGCACTGTATCTCCTATATAATTTTATAGCCATTCACCTTGTATAATTTTGAATGCAAAAGAATGATAGCAGATAAAGATTAGCAAAATATTTTTCTACGATATATGGTATAAAGTTTCTCCACATTTTGTCAAAATATACATTTATTTCATAAACTGTATATGCCCAAAAAGTCTCGCACAAGCATAGTATTACTTGATGAGTATTTATAAGCATTTAAAGTTTCCTTTCATATAACAATTGTTTGTCCATAGCATAGTTTGATCACTATTAACTGTGGTTGGATGAAACGTCTAAAATGTCGATCACAGTATACAACGATAAAGATTAAAGTATCATGCATGCATGATGTAAATATTAATGACCCGCAGCACAGCAGAATGATATAGACAGTCTTACAGTTATACAGGCCAAAGGCATCAAATGCCAATGAAAGGTCTTAAAGGTCGAAAGAACTACGATTTTACAAGTTTGTACGTAGTTATTTGTGTTAAAATAAAGAATGTAAGAGAGAAGAAAAACACACAACAGGCAACAGGATATGCTGCTGAAATCGTGTAAGTAGGTTCTCTTAGTTTTAAACTCGTTCATTCGATAGAGTTTTTGTCACGAAATACAATAAAATATTGTGGTATGAATGTTGTTGAATGTTGATTTTTGTTTCTTTGCTATGAAACAAAACACTTAATGCCTGTTCCTTCGGGAAATAGTTAGTTTTGTTTTTCCTTGAATGTCAATGTTTTCCTCGACTTCGTTTCGAGAAACATTGAGATTCAAAGAAAAACAAAACTAACTATTTCTCTCGGGAGCAGACATTAAGTGTATATACTAGAAAATACATGCATGGAGAAACCCTCGCCTTGCTGACAAAACAATTGTATTTTCCGGACATGAAGTATCTAAAGTAGTTGTCATGGTAACACGATAATTTTTTAAGAATATTCTTACAAATGAAAAATTGCCTAAAAATATCATTTTTAATTACAAAATTATCAATTTCCCAACATTTATATGTTAGGTATGTTATTATACGTAATACAACCTTCAACTTAAGGTAAAATTCAACCACGAACGTTTCGAAAAACGTTTTAAAGTGTTCTTTATTAAATTAAACTGCCTTTAATTAAATGGCTTTATCGATAAACGTTGAGTTGGCAATAAAATGATTTCAAATTCTAGCATGCAAATAACTTTGCATTCTTTTTTATTTAAAAAATTCAATATAATAAAAAAGGGAGTCAATATTAAAGATACACTGAAATTATATGCTGTCTTGTTTAGTTGTTTCATATACGCAAAGGCCGTCTGGTTTTAATTAAAGCAATTATAAAATCAATATTATAATTTAAAACAAACTTACCTTCGTTAACGTCGGCTCCTTCTTTTAGCCGATCCTTTCGCCCTTTCTTTCTGAGAAGCTTTTGAAATTTACAAAATCTTGCAAAAACGCGAGCAAAAATGAAATATATTTGCAAGAAATTTTTTTAGGATTTAGAAAATTTCTAGGATGTAACATTGCAATTCCTCGTCATAGGATAGTATAATTTTATATCTAATGAATACTCCTTATTTGAAACCTTATTTATTATTTTAAAGATGAACAGCGCGCGCACTAACTTTCTTACATATTGAATGGTAATCTTGACGAGAGAACTATATAGTCTTAATGCAATTGCATTACAAACACAGAATATGAAAGAAATATCGTCTCTGTTTGTAAACCAACGCGCGTTGCACATAGAAAAAATTCAGGGAAGCTGAATTTTTTTTTTCTATGGATCTATAGTTTATGTGAATAAAAAGCTGAAAGTTGAAAATCTGAAAATACTGCCAAGTCCATTAACAGCCGTTAATTGTTAACTTAAAATGTGCTAATTAGCGTATTATTAATCGCTTTAGGAAACGGGTGTAACTTACGGTTGTCATCATGATGAATAAATCCACCGGCGAAAATAAATCATCCATGATAAACGATATTCATTATAGTTGTAAAAAAAACAAGAAAAAGATAGAGAAAATGACTTCTACTGTATAAACGCAAAAGAGTCGTTAAACGATATTGCCACTATATGCATGTATCTTAATTATGTTTCTTGTTATTATATATAATCCTCGACTTTTTTATGACCCTCGACTCATTTAAAAGGGTAAAAGGAGCGGGTAATTAAAAAAGGAGCGGTAAAAGGAGTGGGTACTTCCGTCAGTTAAACGGACAGGTTTTAAGCGGTTGCATGAATTTTCAATTGTGTCTTAATGACATTTTACCCTATTTCAAAAATTTACAAAAAAAACTTATTACACCATTTCTATAGGCTGAAACATTGCAATTCCTCGTCATAGGATAGTATAATTTTATATCTAATGAATACTCCTTATTTGAAACCTTATTATTTTAAAGGTGAACATCGCGCGTGCTAACTTTCTTACATATTGAGTGGTACTCTTGACGAGGGAATTATAGTCTTGCATTACAAACACAGAATATGAAAGAAATATCGTCTCTGTTTGTAAACCAACGCGCGTTGCGCGTGCAAAATTCAGGGAAGCTGAATCTTTTTTTTCTATGGATCTACAGCCAGTTATATGTGAATTAAAAGCTGAAAGTTGAAAATCTGAAAATACTGCGAAGTCCATTAACAGCCGTTATTTGTTAACTTAAAATGTGCTAATCAGCGTATTATTAATCGCTTTAGGAAACAGATGTAACTTACGGTTGTCATCATCATGAATAAATCTACCGGCGAAAATAAATCATCCATGATAAACGATATTCATTAGTTGTAAGAAAAACAAGAAAGAGATAGAAAAAATGACGTTTGCCACCGCATATCTTTTCCTTCATTTGCTCATGATAGAAATTTCGTTTTTCTAATTTCATGTTTCTACTGTATAAATGCCAAAGAGTCGTTAAACGATTTTGCCACTATGCATGTATCTTAATTATGTTTCTTGTTATTATATAATTATACAGGTATTTACACGCCAGCATGAATTTTGTGTCTTAATGACAATTTACTCCATTTAAAAAATGTACACATTAGTTTAATGCATAATTTCAGTTCTGATGAATAACGCTTATTGTCAGCCTGATGATATAAAAATGAACAGTGTTCTAATTTTCTTAGACATTAAGTGTCACTCTTGACGAGGGAACTAGTCTGGCGTTATAAACACAGAATATTATGATAGAAATATCGTCTCTCATGTTTGTAAATCAACATGCGGCG